TAAAATAAAATACATGTACGACACTTTTGTAAATTTCAACGAGCTATGAAAATGTGGTCTATTATTATAATTACAACTCATCGGTCAAGAAATAAGCCAAAGCCATACCAATAAAATAAACATGAAAATGATACCAAGGTTAATTTAGTTTTACTGCTGTACTGATCAAACTACCAAAGGGATACTTTACAGAACTAAATAGAATAACAATAAAATTCATCTAAAGAAACAAAGATCAAGAATGTCAAGGAAAATAACGTCATGAGATAGTAATAAAGAGGGATTAGCAGTCCTAGACCTCAAACTATATTATGAAACAATAGTTATAAAACCATTTGGTACAGGCATGTCAATGGAACAAATTAAACAAGGGAGAATTAGAAACAACGAACTCAATAAACCAGTGTTTGAAAAAGTAGAAAACAAATCATTTGGGCAAGTATTTGATTTTTTTCAAAACTTCTGGAAAACTGGAAAGCAGCTTGACAGAAATGAAGCTTAGACCAAGTTAATATATATTATTCCACAATAAATTCTAAATGGATATATGTCCTTAATGTTAAAGATCATACTATTAAAAAAACTGAAGGAAAAGCACGTCATAGGGAAGCCTTTCACAGCTATCAGTATTCTTAACCAAACAAGAGATAGGAGCAATTACAAAAGATAAAATGGTTCATTTCCAATTACATAAAATTGAAAAGCTTCTGCACAAACAAAATTAATGAACCTACCATGAGAAGGGGAAAAAAAATCTTTGTATCCAATTTCTCAGATAAGGGTGTGGTAACCAAGATATATAAACAACTAACATGCATATGTTTTTCATATGTATAGATAGATAGATATAGATACAGATACACACACACATACACACACATAAATATATGTATATATACATGTGTATATGTATGTGTATATATCCAATAGCTAAGTGGTCAAACAAAGGATATGAACAAAAAGTTCTCAAAAGAACTTTTAATAAAAAGAACTATTAATAACCATATGAAAAAATGCTCCAAATTACTACTAAGAGAAATACAAATGAAAACAATCCTCAGGTTTTACTTCACACTTTGCAAATTGACAAACATGACAAAAGAGGCGAATAGTCAATGCTGGAGGAGTTGTGGGAAGATAGGCACATTTTTGGTGTAGCCATGAATTAGTGCAACTATTCTGAAAAGCAATTTGAAATTATGCAAATAGAGTCACTGAAATGTCCATACCTTTTCACACAGAGATTCCGCTTCCAACCTTATAACTCAAGGAGGTGATTTATAAAGAAGGTCTCCAGGGGAGAGCCAACCCTGCCAGTGAATCCCTTCCACTCTCCCCATGGTCTGAAAGAACTTCAGCTCCAAGGTATTTGCCGAGAACTTTTCCAGCTGCCCCCCAAAAGTTCCCCTTGGATCTGAGACATGTTCAGTGAGTAAGCCCAGGATAGGAGGAACATGGGCAGTGTCACCCTCCCTGTGGCTTTAATAGCCTACTTTATTGTTGCTACTTTTCTCCAGTAGGAAAGTAAGACGGGCAACATGGACCAGGTGATATCCATTTGGCTCCTGCTGGGTTGGCTAGGCAGAGACTCCTATAACCTTGTCAACTCTTTCCTTGCCAATCAACTACCCTTGTAGACACACATCAACATCTACTATGTGCTGGTTGACCTCCTAATGATGCCCCTTTGCTGCTACTACAAATACAAAAACCAAGACTCCCTAATATCATCCCTCATCGACCTGACCTTCCTTTTCATCTCCTTGGGGGCAGTGTAAGCTGGCCTCCTCTTCCTCAATCCCAGCCCCTTGACCTCACAGGAGGTCTTTAGGGGCAGGACCTTCCTGTCTATGGGGCCATTGAAAAACTCTTCACCAAGCAGGAGACTATCAGCTGCATCATTGGCTCCACCTCCAGCCTCCTATACCTGCTATCTTGTCTGTCCCAGATCTACACCAATTCCATTGGAAGTTCACCCAGGGTATCTGTCCTTCCTATTTGCCCTGTTGATTTGGGCTTACACAATTATGTCTGGTCATGCTGCTGAAAAGTCCTGAGGTAGAGTAGACTGATGGTAGCTTCCTGCTCCACTATATCCCCTAGCTCACTGACAGCCTAGGCATGCTGCTACTAGACATCATTATCTCAATTCAGTTCCTCATCTACAGAAAGTGACTCTCCTTTCTTGAGAGACAGCCCCTTCTGGGCCAGAATCCTTGATGACCGTGTGCCAAGGACAAGTCAAAGATGACCAAAAGACTAGGCAGACATTGAGGGAGGGAGAGGAATTTGGAAGGGAAACACCCACTGGCTGAGACGTATTTAGGTGCTAAGAAGGTAGCTGGGGGAACATACAGAAACTCTCCTGCCTCCTGCTGCCTTCCTTGACCGAGTCTTCTGCTCTCAGGTCTCTGAAAGAGTCCATGAACCTGCTCCCCACTAACCTCAGGAGCCAGGACCTACTTCTCCAAGAATCAGATCCCACTGGCCCCCAACTCAAAGCTTCCAGTCAGAGAAGAATGGCCAGGGATTTGCAGTGGAAGAATTAAGCTATTTTCAATGAGGATCACCGGAATATATGCCCTCAGGCCATTCTTCAGCTGGGTTGTACCCCTTCCCTCACTTCCCCAGGAGCTGAGCTGTGGTCCCCAGGAACCAACACAACTTGGCTAGCAGCTTCTCCTTCCTCTATATTTTACCTAGTGCCAAACTTTCTAGTAAAATCCATCTAAGTAGACAGCCAAAAGTAAACGTCTCCATATATACCAATATATTTATAGTAGCACTTTTTGTGATGCAAAGAATTGGAAACCAAATGTATGCCCATTGATTGGGGGATAGTTAAACAAATAGTGGTATGTAAATGTATTAGAACATCATTGTGCTGTAAGAAAGGATGCAAGTGATGAATACATAAAATCATGGAAAGACTTACATAATCTGATCCAGGGTGAAGTACTCAGAGCCAAAATAATAACATACACAATGGCTGTTGTTGAGTCATTTCAGTCATGTCTGACTCTTCCTGATCCCATTTGGGCTTTTCTTGGCAAAGATACTAAAGTGGTTTGTTATTTCCTTCTCCAGCTCATTTTACAGTTGAAGAAATTGAGGCAAACAAGATTAAATGACTTTCCCAGAGTCACACAGCTAATAAGTGTCTGATTGGATTTGAACTCAGGAAGATGAATCTTCCTGACTCCAGACTCAGCACTCTGTGGCACCACCTAGCTGCCCCTACATAATGGCTACAGCAGTATAAATGAAAACAACCACAGATCACTCAAAAAAATAAATGTTGTAAGTTACAAAGAAGAAACATGGATCCAAAGAAGAAATAAGAGAAGACATTCCCGCCCCATTCCTTTGCAGAGGTGGGAGGTAATGGGTGTGGCACATAGCTCTCTTGGAGAAAGGATGGAGGAAGGATGCTGGAAGAAATGTTGGGGATATTTTTTTAAAAAGATAAAAATATATTTTAAAAAAGAAAAACAGGTCAAAGATTTTTAAAAGTTTGAACGGATTAAGGAGGTTAAACAACAACTTTTTAAAAAGAGTAAAGTAAGCACTGTTCTAAACTATAAATAATATCTAGGAAACAATATTAAATTATCAATAAAGGAACATATTTTTCATTGTATAGTCAGTCAGGACTAAGCAAATAATAGCAGAAAAACAGCCATTTGAAAAAAATTCTCCAAATAACTACTAACGAAATGCAAATTAAAACAATTCTGAGATTCTACCTCACATCCATCAAATTGGCAAAGCTGACAATAAAATGAAAATAATGAATATTCGAGGGGTTATGAGAGAACAGGCACATTGATTCACTGTTGGTGGAGCTGTGAATTGGTCCAACTAGTCTGAAAAGCAATCGGAAATTCTGCACAAAAAGATATTAAACGCCCTTTGACCCAGGAATAATAAATGTTTATTGATTGACTGATTAAAGACCACTGTCTATACCCCAAAGAGATCAAAGAGGGAAAGGTCCTATATGTATAAAAATATTTATAGATGCTCTCTTTTGTGATGGCTAAAAATAAACCCTGAAAATTAAGGGGATGCCCATTCATTACGGAATGACTAAGCAAATTGAGAGGAAAGATGATTTCAAAGAGAACATAGAAAGATTTGTATCAACTGATGTGGAATGAAGTCAGAAGGACCAGAAGAACAATTTATAACATAATGTCAATATGTTATATAAACAACTCTATTAGCCTCAAGAACTCTGATTAATCACAATTCCAGAAATTAACAAAGAATAATGCATATCTCATGACAGAGAGATGAGGGATTAATACATAAAATAAGAAATGCATTATTCAACATAACAAATAGGAGAATTTGTTTTGCTTGACTGTGCTTAAGTGATGGAGGACTGGCTTTCTCCCTCCTTCCTTTCTTTTTTCCTTCCTTCCTTCTCTTTCCCTCCTCCCTTACTCTATTTCCTTCCCCTCCTCTTTTCCCTCCTTTCTTCCTCTCCTTCCTTCACACCTTTTTACCTTTCTTCTCTCACTCCAAGAAGGTGAAAAAAAATGAATGCTTCATAATTGAAAAAATTAAAAATTTTTGTATATGTATATATTTAAAAATAAAATGTTGATATAAAAATGGAAAACAAGATTTGCTCCAAAGAAGCTGCCAGTAATTTCAGAGAATCAATGCCTGACCCTATTTTGGTTTACATTTTCTTTAACCCATTGGTCTTTCCCATTTCTATCACATGTTCCTTTAAGACAAATAAATGTCAAAGTTATTCCTAGGTGTGGAGCACAACTTGACGCTAAAATAAACTTGAACCACTAAAGTCAATATTTTATAAAAAGGTATGACAGTCTCAACCTTTTCTACTCATGGGGAATTTTTTTCTGCCCTTAATAGTTCTCTGTTTATTTCAGAAGAGTTAGAAGCATTTATAGCCCTTGCATCTTATTCTTATGTTTTTGGGAGACACTGAAGTGGGAGAACAAGCCTTCGGCTGAATATATTACCTTCACAAGACAGGCCATGGGAAGTAACTCCAGAGAGACTCTCTCGGCACACGTTACAGAAGGTGGGTCGAGCATGGGAGCAGGCATACCAGTTATGCATCCCTGAGAAATGTTCCACATTAAACTGTGCCGCCTGGTAAAGGAGAAGTTAAGATAAATTTGCAAGTGCCGAATATGGCTACTGATACAATTACGAAGTGTGTATGTGTGTACAAACACACACACACACACACACACACACATACTTATACATGCATACATATATATGCACACACATATATACACAACACAAAAGAAAATTAAATTTAAAAGTGATAGATATTTAAAAAACTATAGTACATTCATTTAAATTATATATATACACATATATACACATATATATACACACACATATATGTGTACACAAAATACAGAAATACCATATCAACATGTAATTTATTTTAACACTTGGAACTCTAGAGATTGTTGATTTTGGAACAGCAACATGATACAATGAAAGGGATTTTATTTTACCTCATAAAGTTCCCTTGACTGTACAGACTTCAGTAAACTGATCCAGTCTTCCATCTCCTTTCTGTTTTCAGCGCACAATACCAGCCTCCTGAATGGCGTGATTATCTGAAAAAGATTTCTCAACTTAATGATTCCAAATAATAAAGAAATTGTAACATCTGACAAAGCAATTCCACTTTCCATGCTTTGCCATTCCTTGGTGATGAAAACAAAATGCACTCGATAAACATACATAAGGTTTAATCTCAAACCATAATGCAATGCTTAAAATACAAAGCTTCTACCTAGGGGGGAAATTACTTTCATTCTTGATCTTTAGGAGTCTCTCTTTTTTAGTTATATCATTACTTATTTATCACACCTTTTTGAACACAATCTACTCAAATTAAGAAGCAAAAAAACCCCATTTCTTTATAAAGAGAATGTCAAATAAACTTCACAACAATACTGAAGCAACTGTAAGCTTTTTAAAGAATTACATTATGAACGACCTTAAGAATAAACTGTAATAAAGGAAAAAAATAGGGACATCAAGTATGTTTAGTACTTCATTTCTATTGAACTTAATGGTAGCCGTAAGTGTTTGTTTAGTAATGAAATAGTATTATGTTGCAATGTTATATCCAGTGCCTACTGACTTGGATTTTAGGCAGCGATTTAATTTTGTGGAAATTAAAGCCCTAGAGGTCAAGTGGGGAGCATGGAGAAGAAATAGGAAGAAGAAAGCTCTTTCAGCTACTTTGAGGAAAAAAGACCCTTGTGTTTGCCAAATTACTGTAAAATACCATACAATTTTTCTTGGTTCATTAGAATAAAAGGCAAACAAAACACATTAAGAAATGTCAGGGTTATGCACTTGCAACTTTGTAAGGAATCCAGATTCCTAAACACTGAACTTCACCTAGAAATTCAAAATTAATCAATTCCAGATACAGGATCATGTATGTGTTCAGGAAAACAATTTTTAAAAGGAAAAAAATCACACACACAGAAATTTAATTTAAAGCACAGAAACTGCTTTAAATTGTCAACTAAAATTAAAAGTGCATCCATTTAAATAAGCATTTATTACTTCTTTAGTAAAAAAAATCTCTCTGTAGAGTCATAAATTAATTTATTCCATATTTCATGCTTCATCCTCAAACAGATTTTACAAGTAAAACAAAAACTAAACACTTTAAATGACTTTATTTTTCATTAATTCATGACAGGCAAAACATCAAACCAAAACTAATAGTCATAAAAAAAATATACATTGACTTTAAAGCTGGGAGAGGAGAGAGAGAGACAGAGACAGAGAGAGAGAGAGAGAGATCCAATCAGTCTTAGGCACTTACCCAGACCCTGCTGGACCTTCTCTGCTGTTGATTTGGACTCAGCAGTACCTCATTAAGCTCAGTTGCCCTTTAATATATCTGCCCAGACTCTCAAGTGCAGCAGCTACCAGTCACATGGTCAAGTAACTCAAACCTTTCAGCTTTGGGCATTTTTTTTAACTGCATATGGAATTGAAAGGCATTTCACTTTGGTCTTTTCTTCAGTTTTCTACTACCCTCTTTTGATAGAGCTCATTAACAGTTGGTCTCTCCTCTTCCTGAATAAATACTTAATGCAAAGAGCAATGCTTCTCTCATTACTTAGGAGCCAAATGGATGCTTTATTACTTGAAGATGTTGTTTTTTCTAGGACAGCTCATCAAATGAAACAGAGAGAAGCCAGTAAATCATAATATACTCCTGGCTCCAGGAGCCAGCAGAGTGCTCCAGAAAATCTCCAGGCTTCGCTGAACTTACTGATATTACCAGAAAAAATACCTCCAAAAGCATGTATTTCTCTTTATCCTATATTACTTCACTACAAGAATTCTCTCTTTATATAGCAAGATATGCATTCATCATACAAATAAACCAGTGTGTTCAGGTTTTTCTTCTCAACTTTTGCATTACATTTGTGGAATTTGAGTGGAAATATGATTTACATATAAAGTTTTAATTAGCTTTACTCCCTTTGTTCCTAAAAGCCATTTTTAAAAGACAAAAAAGATCAATATAAGGAGAAAATGTATTTTTCTTGCATCTTTAAAAAAAATGACTCTATACAAATGCCTCAAGTCAATCAACAGGCCTTTATGAAGCATCTGCTATGTGCAGGCATTGCACTATGTGCTGGAGAAACAAATACAAAAGATGAGATTATCCCTCCTCTTCAGGAGTTTACATTCTAATGGGATTAAATGTTCAAACAGTTCAAATATTTTTCAGTTATAACATGGTTATATATGTATATATGCCATGTATGTATAATCTCTATATTTTCATGAAATAAAAAGTGTATTTAACAGACTCATTTTAAAATCAATCCTAGTAAAAGATTGATATATAAAAGACAAAACAAATTTTGAACAACTTTTGTGAATATGAAAATAAATATTATAAAGTTAAAAACAGTTTCAGCATTATATATACACTAGACAAATCAATGTTTTGCCCTTACAAAGTACTACCTAGAAATAGCAAGAAGACATAAGAAATATGTCTGCTACCTACTTTCGGGATTTTTTGTCATTTCCTCCCTTCCCCCTACCTAGGCTGCTGACTGAGCTCATTACCTCTATGTACCTTCACTTCTAACCAGACATGAATTATTTTCTCACCTTCTTCCATGCTAGATCCAGAGTGGAGGCTATGGTGGCAAGGGACCAGGGGGAAGGGGGAGCAGTGAAGGAGAAAGACGAGGAATAGAGGGTCCCACTGCACCCTCACTGGTCCCAGAAGCATCACCAATCCCCATTCCAGCTTAACTCTCCAGACATCCCCATCCAACGGCCTGGGATCTAGCCTTCACCTCAGAGCCCAAGGCTAATTCAAGGAAAGTCTAGGAAAACCTGGGTGTGATTCTCCTCTGAAATGTAGAAGAATCTTATTTTCAGTCTTGTCTGTGCAGAGATTCACCATTTAGTACCTATGTGTGACTTTCTTCCTCTGCACCTTCCCCAGCCAGAGTCAAAGGTGAAAAAAAAAAATGAAGGGAGGAGGCTTAGGAGGGAGCCTTTTATTTCTCATGGGTTTTCCTTTTATTAGTACCAAAGGTACTAATAAATAAGGGTTTTATAAATAAAACTCTTAGGAAATATTAAAAGAGCTATGTCCAAGACATCAAGGGAGGGAGAAACCTTGATCAGAAGTAGTGGCAACAGCCAGAAAAGATGGAGGGTGATCAATAACAGGGGAGGCATAAGTGTCCTGGGAGGACCAGTTCTTATCCTGACCCTGAAGGCCATCTCTCATTTCCTTTCATCTCCCCAATTACTGGCACCCCTCAGACCCAGACTTTTGAAGCCCTTGCCACAATGGCTTGAGGGCTGAAGGAATTCCTAATCCTAATGGAAAAAGGGACAGTCCTAGTTCCCCCGAGTAGTTTAAGAGAAATGAATTCTAAGTGTCTTGAGTTGGTATTTGGAATGCATTTTCCCATAGAAACCCCATTACACAGGGTGATTGGATTCCACAAAACTGTTGGTACAATACTAAAGACATCTACAGATGAACCTCTGAACCTAACCATTTAAGTTCCAGACAACTGACCACAAACAAGTTGTTGGTAAGTTAAAGACTACTTTTTATTCTGTTTTTGGGACTAGTACAATAGTAGCTTGGTTAACAAATTCCCTGAGAATAAAGCTTTTTTTCAATCAAAGTCAGTCTTGCTTAAAAAAAAAAGAAACCAAAAATTAAATTATATAAAGGATGCTACCTATGTTCACAGATATGATAAATAGCCTTTATTTATCCTATTTGAACACATGGCAAAATTACAAAGTTCTTAAAAGTTTGTCTTATGCTATTAGTCTCTTCTTTATATACCCTTTGGGTAAAGGGTATACCCCTTTATCCCAAGCAAAACCAGTAGAGATTGAATAATAACTCATTAATAATATATAATAGCTCACTAAATAATTGTTGATAGATTATATTTGAAGTGAAATTCATTTTCACTCAAGGGTTAAGCCATAGGTTTAAGTCAAGTCAACCCATACTTATTAAGTACCTTCTATGTGCCAGGCACTGGGGGCAGCTAGGTGGCATAGTGGCTAGGGTGCTGGCTCTGGAGTCAGGAAGACTCATCTTCCTGAGTTCAAATCTGGTCTCAGACATTTACTAGTTCCTGAGCAAGTCATTTAACCCTGTTTGCCTTAGTTTCCTCATCTGTAAAATGGGCTGGAGAAAGAAATGCCAAACCATTCCAGTATCTGCCAAGAAAATCCCAAATAGGATCACGAAGAGTCAGACATGGCTGAAAAATGACTGAACAATACTATGTGCCAGGCACTGAGGCTAAGTGCTGGGGATAAAAAGAAAGGCATAAAATAATTCCTGCTCTCAAGGAGCTCACAATCTACTGTGCAAAACAACAAGCAAACAACTATGTTTGGACAAGCTATGTCTACAGGATAAATCAGAGATAATCTCAAAGAGAATATTTGACTTAAAAGGGTTAGCAAAAAGGTTTCTTATAGAAGGTGGGGTTTTAGCTGGGACTTGAAGGAAGCCAGGTAGCCCAGGAGACAGAGATGAGGCAGGGGAAAATTCCAGGAACAGGGAACAGCCAGTGAAAATGCCCAATTAGGAGATGGATTATCCTGTTCAGGGAATGGCAAGGAAGCCATTATCACTGTCACAGCAGACTCAGGGGTGAGTAAGGTATATGAGGGCTGGCAAGGGAGGAAGGGGAAAAAAAGGTGATGAAGGGGTTTGAAAGGCAAACAGAGGCTTTCATATCTGATCCTGGAAGTAATAAGGGATCACTAGAGTTTATTGAATGGGGGGGGGTGGCCATGCTCAGGGTGATTAAAGGATTTTTTCTCTTGTTAATGGAATTTCATTTTTGGAGGAACTAAAGAAACCATATAACCCTCAAGAAAACCATGGTATCACAAATTTAGGGTTTGGGGTGAGGGCCCATCCAAAGAGATAACCATAAAGCAGTCACTCTATTTCCTATTTAAGTTTTCTCAGAGACTACTTGAGTCCTATTTCTGGGAGATGCTGGCAGTGGAAAGGTATCAGGGTGTTTTTTAACAGGGCCTGGAACCCACTTTAATCTAG